TGGATTATCATATAATACAATATATATTAAAGTTTCTATTATTAGATTTAATATACTGATGTTAATCAGATAATTTTATAAAGACATAAACATTTCCTGTAAACAAGTTAAAAATATTACTTCTCAATGTTAAATATAGAGCTACCTGATATTACATAATTTTAGTAAAAACTGTCTAATGATAAAGAGGAGCTTAGAAAGAGATCAGTATGGAAAAAGTTGCAGATTATATTCCAATCTCCATTTAGGGTAAGAGGATTTGTTACTTTTTGAAAGATTAGAGATTTTTAAATTTAGGGTATTGTTTTTTTTTTTTAATTTTAGAGGGTTTAAAAAGTTAAAGGAGAAACCTTAATAGCGGCAAGTTTCTAATATTAATAAATACATTTTGATAAAAATGTAATAATATTGAGATGAATATTTACTCAAACTTTTCTGAGTGAATATATTTAATAATTGTAAGAATTCAATATACTCTTTGATAGTACACTTCTCCATATGGATACCAGATTTTATTTTTTATGTAGTATAATATTCATTAGGTAATAATTTAACCTCCTTCCCAAACCAAATAAAATGTAACTATTTTCAACAAACATACCACTAGGGTCAAAAATAATGCAAGAAGAAAATGAATAATGTTTCTGAAATTGGTAAATGCCAATAATGCACATTTGAACACAGATGTACCATTTTAATTCAGTATTTAAATTCAAATAGAATTTATTGAATGATATATTGAGACCAATGTTAATTTGTTTATCAGCAATTTAAAACACTGCATGAAAAATATTTAAAGATTAATAAAACTGTTTTTTAAATTCAAAGATGCAAACCTCCTAAAAATTGAGGCATATTCACCAAAAATCCTAAAGTGGAAAAGCGGTTTGTGTTTAGACACACAACTTTGTCTAAAAATGCTTAAGCTTCTATAAATGTATTTATAAAAAAAACAAAGGGTTAAAACATTATAAACTGGGCTACACAAATGACATGGATTTTTAAAAATGTATTTACTTGAGGTATAATGTTTCAGCAAAATGTACAAAGTTGAGATGAAAGTTGAGACTTTAAAACTACCCAAGTTGTGATGATTTGAGTACATTTATAAAACTTTTACGTAGGCACTGTATAAATAAACAGTGTGTCTACAAGTATAATGTTTACATTAGAAGAAATAAAATACATTCTCCTGTTATATGAGAAAACTTTGACAGTTTAATATAATGGTGATGTGGAGTTGACAAATTCAAGATGTGGCCGGGCCTCCTCACTCTTTAAAAACTTGTTTTTTGCGTGTGTGTAAAAATAAGTCTTTGCTTGTCAGCTACATATGCTAAACTCACCTGCATCATTGTTTAGCCCTGAAATACACCATCTAGGGTTAACCATGAACAAATACAAGTTTCATATTTTAATATCTTTGGTAAAGTCTTTTTAAGCCAAAGAAACTATTTGCAAATTAGCAAAGTGATGGTGGGAACCTCTGGCTGAGTATGCTAATACTAGATGAGTGAGGTAATGCTGAAGGAAAGTGAACTGTAAGAGAAATTATCTGTGGAATTGTTAGAGCACAGAAGGGTCAACCTGATGAAGCTGTCTTCTCCCAGCCACTTCTCCGTGAATCCCCAAGTCCAGCTGAAGCGTGGTCAGTTGACCTAGAGAGGAGATCATGGCATAAAGATTAGGTTTGAAGATGGTTGCGGGAACACTGTCTAGTGAGGGCTTCAGCTGAGTCGACACAAAAGAGGTCAACATTACGAGGTAAGGTAGGAAAGAAAGCCAAGGGGGTAGGGGTGGAAGGAAGAAGAGTGCATGACAACACGTGCCAGATGAGAATGCGTGATACAAATAGAGGGCACTAAACCCAGCTCCAGGGGGAAAAAAAGAAAAAATGCACCATTTGACTCATAATCGTGGGGCATTTTACTTTTCTTGACGAACCGCATGCTCCATCCGTTTGGATATTTGTTCCCAGGATGAAAGCACTTTTCATGCCTCTTCTCCATCCTCCTTATTTTGTCTATTCAGCTCTCCTTGCTTCTGTTCATCTGGACAAATCTGTCTTATATTTCAGTGTATAGTTTGCATATTACTTCTTTTCTGCCTGTGTGTGCTTGATTTTGTCTATTCAGCTCTCCTTGCTTCTGTTCACCTGGACAAATCTTATATTTCAGTGTATAGTTTGCATATTATTTCTTTTCTGCCTGTGTGTGCTTACATGTTTGAAATGAAAATCAAGCTCTTTTCTTGGTCAGGTTGACTGTAAAAGTGGTCATATGATATGAGGCATGACTTCTGTGGCTTCATTCACTCTTTCATTTATAGCTTCCCTTAATATATTAACTCAACAAATGTATGTTTCTATAAGTACAAGAAAATTGTTATAAATAAAATATGATTTTGCAGACTTTTTGAAAGATAATGTTTTCCTCTTCATGGAAACATGTTATTTTGTAAATGCGAACATTGATTTTTTTAAAATAATTACTACAAAGTTAAAATAGAAAGGATGGCTGTCTTTGGCATTAGGCCAGTTATATTTAACACCTTATGACTCACTAAGCCATGGAACTTGCAAGATTTCCATTAAAGTGAAATCAAATTGTGTGTAAAAAGTGAATTCATAAAACAAAGGTTTCAAAATATTATGCTATTCACTCCATGTTAATTCTGACTTATAACCTTCAGGATCATTGATTTCAATAACAAATTGCAGACATCTTTGTAGGTCCTGAATAAAACCAAAATGATTATGATAATGACACCTTGTAGAGTTTCATCCCCATATTTTCTCTTTAGGCATGACATAAAAATAACAATATTTCATTTAAAGGTCATAACTTTCCACATCATCACCATAAGTGTAGAACCCAGTTCGCAGATGACCACAATGCGCAAATCTGAGAGCTGATTATGTAGCCTCCTGACTGGGTCTCCACATTTCCTAAACTTTACGTTCCGTGACATCATATGCTGGAGGGGACAGTAAAGACATCTGAATTCAAATGTTTTGAAGAAATGTGTATTTAGCAACTGAATACATGCTGAAAGGAATAATTTACAGCAGCAGTTTCATTACATTTTCTTTCCAGTTTTGTAGTTCCCATCTGAAATGCAATGATAAATACAGATACGGAACATGTGTACCACCTGGAAAAAAACATGCTTACTGAGTGGGCACACACCTCCTGCCCTTAAATAGCACTTAAACCACCTTGTCACCCGGGCGGGAATTCTGGCATTTTCCGGGGATGTTGAACACACTGAAATAGAGTACCTCTACAATGTTGCATTGTACACTCGTCTTCTTTTCAAAATTATTTACATCTCTTTGCCTAATGTGTAGGTAGCAAAAATATTAAGCACATACCATTGAAAATCACTAAGTTAATACATAAAAAGTACTATTAAATGTGCATTTACATGCATTTACATTTTACATTTCATTTCAACTGGGCCATAATTTCTCTGCTGCAATGTACACTTTGCCTACCTTAAGACTGCCATCATAATTTGCTTAAGGACACAGGAGTCTCTTAACTTGGTTTCAGCTCTGATGATCCGTGCATATATCAGTCTATCAAGCTAAATTGAATGGGACATTATTTTTCGTGCAACCTGTCCCCTGTCAGTACACATTGGCAGAAGACTGTAACTGTAATAAGAGTTATTTACCTGCAAGTCATATCCATAATTGTCTTTGAAAACTTAGACCTGATGGCTCATAAAGACATGCCAGTAGATTTGTTAGTTTTTATTTCTTTTAAAGTCTAGACTTTCTTTCCATGGGTATTTCACAATGCTAAACAAAATACATTGAGATATTGGAAGACATCCCGAAATTATTATCTCTAGCCCTTCAAATCTTTTATTTTTGAAGACTAATAAGAAATAAGATACTTTTGTTATTGAGAATAAATTTGTTTCAGTTGCAAATATAGAATGAAATGCAACACCCAATTTTAGTACAGTTAAGATACTCTATAAAAATAAAAGAATGACCTATTTTTGGAATACTCTTTGTTCTTTGATTTACCTTTTACACTTTTTTTCTCTTTATATGAGTGTGTTCTTCAAATAATTTAAAATTCAGATAGCATTAGAGGATGTACTTCTAAAAGTAATACTGTATTCATCAATGGAGCCTAAAATGGTTGAATATTTTTAGGCTTTCATTTGAAACAAGTGTCAACAAATTGTTTATTCAACATAATCATTAAAACTGTAACATGAGCTTCAATTTGTGAAAACTTTCAGCTGATAGAGAAATTTTAGAAAATTCACTGTAGTCTGAGGTGAGAAGTGAAAGCTGAGTTCATTAGAATCCCAAGGCAGAGTTAGAATTTCAGTGCTGCTTTCCTTCAGCAGCAATAGGATGCTTCTTTTGCATTTTTGTGCATGTTGAAGGGCCTACGGAGGGATTTCTGGCAAGGGGAATGCAGTGCAAAAGAAATTACTGTAATGCTGATGGTTCTATGTGCCTTGAAGTCAATGACTCTCAAGGAATCATCTTAGGACAATAAAGCAGGCAAGTGCGTAGTTAATAATCATTACCTTATTTTATAAGTTGTTGCAAGAGACAAAGAGTTTTACATGTTTTAAGTGTGGATTGTGTCTTGGAAAACAGTTTGTATAAAAGTCACTCCCACTGACATGAAAAGAATTAATGTTCTTTAGACATAACTATATTAATGAGAAATAAGAGGCAGTTGATACAGATGTAAACAGAGTTAAGAAATTTGCTTTTAAGATAGTGTTCTTAATATTACTGATTTCTCTTTTTAAAAAAAATTAGGTGGCACAGGTGTAATTCCTAATGGAATCATGAGCGAGAATTCTTATGTCTCAAATATCATGCAGGGATTCAAGCTCAGAATTAAGAGACATTTTCTACCTTATATTAAGATAATGCTTATTAATTTTAAGAAATATGCAGCTCCTTTTCCCCTCATTTATTCATTAAATACAACAAAATGCATTTAATATATCATTTTTTTCTTCCCTTTTTGGGGGGGATTAAATGCTCTATTTTTCCAAGAACATTATGCAGATTAACGTTAATTTAGGTAATACTTAAAGAAGGAGAAGTGTTATTTGTTTGAAACCCCAGAAAAATAAAACATAATTTATCCAGGTTTTAGGAATTAACTTCTAATGATGTGTATATATTTCTAAAACAGAATTATTGGCTCTCCTTCTTGCAGAACAGAAAACAAAATTTTTAAAAAGAAAGCAGCACAGAATTGGTATTTTTAAAGCAAAAACTATATAGCACAATAATTGTAAGACAAAAACCTACTCTAGCTTAGGAAAGAGCTAAATTTTACTGCATATTTGTCATGGTACATTTAAATTATAGTTTTAATAAAATACATCTTTAGATCAAAGCTGAAAGAAGACATCAGTAGTAGATCAGTGTATTCCATTTTTCTTCTGGATGATGGATGGTTTATGTTTTTCATATTTCCACAGACCATTTCATTCAGTATCATTTTACTCCTCCAGTACATATAAACGGGAGTGCTGGTAGACAGAAATATCCATGAATCCAACCACATTTTGGAATATTCATCAGCTTAGTAAATCCATGCAGTTTATTTTAAAGTTTTAGTTAAATAAAATGGCTTTGCTGATGCAATTTTTCTTCTTTAGATGGCAATATGGCAAATGACATTTTTATTTCTCAGGCAAAGAAAGCAAAACCTGTACAGTGAAATCCCATAGGAAACGTTAAGACTGCTACAGGGAACATCTGTGTTCACCTGACCTCTATTACGTGTTGGCATTAGGAAGAAAGCCTGTTAGGAAAGTTACTCATGGACTTAATTTATAATTGGTGGAACTCAGTTGCATTTCCCACCGTTGTAAACATCCACATAATGCCATGAAAAAAGTTCATGTATATTGCATTTTTTCCAGTTACTGTCTTAAGCAAGTTTCTACTGGTTTGAGGTTTCTAGAGGTAATGAAACTCAGACACTTCTGGGTGCCCTCTCAAATTCGTGGGTCCTCCTGTTTCTACCTTTCTTATTTTCCTGTAAATGCTTCCATTTGTTACTGTTCCCCTGGGCATGTCCTGGCCTTTGCCGACGTTGTTTTCGGTCCCTTTTCCAAACTTGTTCACAGAACTCATCCATTGTGTTCAGGTTGGGGTGGTTGATGAGCTGCATGAAGTCTCTGTACCAGACCTTCTGGCTGGGTGTCATGCTGTTGGGCATTTCTTTGGTCTTAGGGCCATCTCCATCATCATCTTTATGAAGAAGTTCTTCCAAATGCTCTGTGTCAATGACCTCCAGGGTCACTTTAAGAAGAGTTTGCATAAATCCGTGTTCCACGGCATGACACAGGTAGTTGCCTGAATTCCTCCGCTGTAGACTACGCAGGAGAAGGCCTTGTTCTGTCCTGATGATATGATCATCCACTCTAATCTAGCAGAAGGAACAAAAAGGCAGTAAAATATATATATATCTATTTAAAAGAAATCTAATTTCTGAAACTCTATCTCTGTAAAAATTTAGATTATGTATTGAAGTACATTGTAACACTTAAAGTTTCTAGCTTAAGAGATACGCTACCACTTTCCTATCAGAAAAAAGAATTATAAATTTGTCAATTGTTTTTTAAGATGCATTGCAAAACACTGGCTCCCTATGGTTTTAATAAACTTTCTCATTACAATAATTTAAAATACTCAAGGTAATGGGAGGAAAGTACAAATACATACTTTATTTTGTACATTTGAAAGAAGGCATATAAATATAGGAGAAAGTTAACATTAACTATTGGGATTAGAAATGCAGAACCATGATAGTAGAAAACAATGCAGCATTAGAATGAACATATAGTAAGATTTGAAAAAAATAAAACACAAAAATTAGCAATGGAGCAAGTAGAAAAAGTGTAGGTTTACAAGCTTAATAATTGTTTATTCAATTTCCTAAGTCTTAGATGTGACATAACCATGTAGATATGCTCTTGAAGTTATTTAATCTCACTTTTATTTTGAATACAACTTCTACCAGAGATGTCTAACAAAAACAAGCAAAACCAACCTTGACATTTGTGTGATGTGATTGCATACTTAAAGACTGCTTCAGATGTCAAAAAAGATAATGGGATAATTTTTGCCTTTATATTCAGGTTATGTTTATAAAATTGTCTGCGCATAATACATTTAAAAATAACCTGCGTAGTCTGGTTACACTTATTTAACGCTTGTAGAAAGCTCAGAGTTCTCACTGATATTTTCTGTGCACAGTTCTCCATTTTTACAGAGGAATACATGTATCCATTGAGGAGGAAGCTCTGTCTGATGCTACATGCCAAGTTCATATGAGAGCTCATACTGGGACGTTCCATACTTCATCATAAATCTACTACTCCCTTTCCCAAACCTGTGTTTCCCATTGGAGGTGGAAGTTAATGAAGAAAAACACACACACACATATTTAGATAGCAGAATTCATTGAACCAAAAATAAAATTACTAAAATTACTAGGGGGATTTGATTTTTCTCAGTGGTCGGCAAACTCATTAGTGAACAGAGCCAAATATCAACAGTACAACGATTGAAATTTCTTTTGAGAGCCAAATTGTTTTAAATTTAAACTATCTAGGTAGGTACATTTTATTAACTTAATTAGGGTATTCCTAAGGCTGAGGAAGAGTCACACTCAAGGGGCCAAAGAGCTGCATGTGGCTCGCGAGCTGCAGTTTACCGACCACGGCAACAAATATACATAACTGCTTTGTCGATAACTACAGAAAGAAGAAAGAAGATTCTAAAATATACCCACAAATGGCTTCTGAGACAAAACTCACATGTGTTTCTCCAACTCCTAGCACAAAGCCTGTAATATAATCAGCCCTCAATGAGTAATTGTTTAATGAAGGAGCTATTATGGAGTGAGGAAAAGGATAAAGATGCACAGCACCCCCTCTCCCCACTCCCCCCCCAATATCCACTCGGCTTCATTGCTATACCTCTTCTTTTCGCTCTTCATTTCGCCTCTGGAACTGCCAATAGACCAGAGCTCGCTGTGACTTCGGGCTGCACTCCAGGAACGTGCTGCTGTTTTCCACCCCGTAGATGATTCTTTCTTCAAGGCTGTGCCCGTGGTGCTTATCTGTTCCGGGAGGAAGAAATGAAAGGAGAAACGTTGGAGAAATCAACTCAACTTTTCAATGTATTTACTTATTTGGAAATTCAAGAGATAAATTTATTGCCAAGTTGGGAGTCTTTTTCAAATTGATTGTGGATGGCAGAAATGTCAAGGATGTAAAGTTTCAGAACCCAACTGCTTATCAAAATAGACATTACTTTGGTATGGATTACATAAGCCACGTGCAGATATTTGTCTACCAGAAAATAGCATGACAACAATAAAATCTGTCATATGTGCAGTATAACTATACATTTTTAGAGGCCATGATAACTTTCTCTAAGAAATGATTTTCACTGTAAAACTCTATGCTCTGATCAGTGGGGCCAGTTCATATTATAATATTTTCCAGCAGTAAAGTTATTTAACTAGGCCTTGGAAAACAAGATTTTGCCTCTCTGTATTTTTTATCTGTAAAATTAAATTTACCAACCAATACTTATCTAGTATTTTACAAAAGGTAGAGTTCAGGAATTTTATACTCCCTGCCAATAACTCCCAAATAGTCCACAGGTTTGTTCTGAAGATCAATTGGTGTGAATGGTTGGGATGGCTCAGAGGAAAGAGGCGCAATTCTGACGCCATGTGGTTTCAATTGTTCTTATTTTAAAATGACACATCTTTCAATATTTTTAAGAATCAGAGTAAAGATATGGCAAGAGTCGATAATAAAATGCAACAATAAGAAATCCTGTTTCCTGATTAAGTTTCTATTATTTTACCCTTTATGTAACCTCCTTCAATGTGGTAAATGAAACACAGTTAAGATCAAAAGTATGACACAGGGGGTGTAGGTAAAACTCATTTAGAGTAAAAAAAATCCTCCTTATTATCTTGTATAATCCTGTTTCCATTATGACATCCTGCACAGTCTGGAACTCATTATATTAACTTAGAAAATAATAAATATATTTTCATATGCATAGAGGGCTGACAGTAAGAGACAGATGAAAACTTTTTATTCTCTATTTCAAACTTAGCTAGATTTTTCATTTAAAAGTCCGTCCCCCTCTTTTTTGGCATCACTTTGACAGTTTTACTCTCCTTATAATCAAAATGAGTACTTTTGTTTGTCAGGCACAATATGATTGCTCTCATTAGATTTAAAACTTTCCAAATCCTCCTTCCATCTAATCCCTGTGTACGTGGCCGATGTCCACCATCTCTCAGTCTCACCCTGCCTAGAATCAACCTTCTGCCTCCATTTGCTATTTCCAGGAATGTCAACTTCAGTGCCTTTTCCTCTATAGATGGAAGTGTGAAATACAAGTTTTTTAATAGAGAGAAGTGTCTGTCCCTTCTTACTTAAAAGATCAACCCCTTAGAAATAGGAAAAAACAACAAACAGGAAATGAATGAAATGTAAAGAAACAGCATTTAATCTATTTGAAGTCACTTTTTTCCGTAGTGGAGATATATATCTTTTTCAATATCGACATTGAATTTGGTAGTATTTTTTCGCTGAAATTATTAGTGATTGAATAGATATGGCACATGTTGCTCTGTTAGTTTGTAAGACATATGCTTCCCTGGATGGAGAGAAATTGCATCTCTCTGCTGGAAAGTCTTCTTTGCTTCAGGAGCTACCACGAATTATTAAAATGCATGTCACAGAGGTCAATACAGTTTACATGGAATATCTCTTTCCTGCTAATTGCTGTGCAGTTTAAACTTTTTTGACTTATAAATCCTTTAAGTTGGAATATTAGCCTTAACAAAGAAGGAAATCTGCAATAAGCAACAAATTAGATAGATCTTGAGGACATGCTAAGGGAAATAAGCCACTCACAGAAGAACAAATACTGTATGATCCTACTTATCAGTCTACAAGGTATCTACAATAGTCAAATTCCTAGAAGCTGAAAGTAGAATGGTGGTCACCAGGGGTGGGAGGGAAGGTGGTATGGAGTTGCTAATCAATGAGTATATAGTTTCAGTTATGCAAGATGAATAAGATTTTGAGCCTGCTGTACAAAATTGTACTTATAATAAACAGTACTGTACCATACACTTAAATTTTGTTAAAATGGTTCTTTTCACACCAATAAAAATTTAAAAAGTAAAAAAAAAGAAAGTTTTAATTTAGTAAAAGAAATCATTTTACTTTTAGGAAGAGACTTTTCATTCCAGCTCTAAATATTCATGAAATCCTAAGGTACATGACAGTATGACAACACAGAAAAAAAAGTCTACTAGATTCAGAAACAAACAACACGGTGATCCACTATCTTCTGGTTTACCAACCATGAGTCCCAGGCCTTGTTGACTTGTCTCTCACCTAAGGTATGTTACTATAAATAGCTATAGAAACATAAGGTATAAGAAAGTTATTGATTTCAAACATAGAACTTTTTTAATACTTTCGTAGAATAGTTACGCCAAAGCCAAGACCAATGTAACTTGTATAATAAGAAAGAAGAGGCTTTACTATTAATATATTAGTAATTAGGTACATTTAAAAAAATCACTAAGTTGTCTTCTTCTCAATTAATTTAATCATACTATCTGGTCTATAGAGAGTTTTGGGGTAACCTTCCCAATAGTCTTGAGAAACCTGCTTAGTTTTTAGTTTCTCTCCAAGATCTCCCAGGTGATAGAAAACATTTTCTTTCTGGTATAATTTTTTTAGGAATTATTTAGATTTTCATGAACAATTTAATTTTTAATGTACTTTGTGACTCATCAGTTGATCATATTTCCCCTTCTACATTGGCCAAAAAAATCCTTTAGTAAAATTTATGTCTTACCCTTATAACTTCTTTTTTTAAGTGTATTTTTATTGATTTCAGAGAGGAAGGAAGATGGAGAGAGAGAGAGAAACATCAATGATGAGAGAGACTCATTGATCAGCTGCCTCCTGCCTACTGGGGATAAAGCCAGCAACCCCGGGCATGTGCCTTGTCTAGAATCAAACCTTGGACCCTTCAGTCTGCAGGCCAATGCTCTATCTCCACTCAGCCCAACCAGAGAAGGCCCTTATAACTTCTTGATATGTTTTTCCTGCATGACTGTTTTTGTTCTCTGTCAGCATACTTTCTTTGCCTATGTGACATTATCACTATCTTTATCTTATATTTGTATTTAATCAAATAATTGCAAATTGTATGAAATCTTAGTTTGTTTAACAATTATACATAACAAAATACTTATAACCCTTTAAAATATTTTCTTTCTTGTTCATAAAATATATCTACATAAAAATAACAGTATAATGTCTGAATACAGAAATAATCATAAAAATGTAAGGTGGTATTATTGTCATGGTTGTTCTTTTAATATTTTGAACTGTTAATTCATTCAAAAGTTAGAATATTTTATTGAGAATTCCTACTAGACAAATTATGTACTCCTCCCCAACATCAAACCCGCTCCTCCACCACCAAAAAAAAAATTGTTTTCTTTTATGCTTCCTAGCATCTTGTTTTGCATATATCTTTACAGTTTTGTAGTTTATTTATTAGAATTAATTATTAATCTAGCTATCTTCCTCCAAACTATACATTCTATAAGACAGTCATTAACCCTTGGCTGAAGTTTGCTGAATGGCAAATCTAGGCAACTATTTAACACTCCCCACTGGGTATGTGTCCACAACCAAGGCACATGCCCCCGACTGGAATCGAACCTGGGACCCTTGAGTCCGCAGACCGACGCTCCATCCACTGAGCCAAACCGGCCAGAGCTACCCTGTATTTAAAGCTAAAAATCTCATGTAACTTTGACATCCTCAAGACAGATTTACCATAGTTTTATTGAAAATAATTTAAAACCTAATCAATTAGAAAGGGCACAAGGTATATAACCCTGATTATGACAGAATGCATTGTTAAACATTTAAAATAGTCTAAATTTGTTAAGTTTTAGAATGTTACAACAGTTGATTTGAGATAATGTGAGAGAAAATGATGACTACTCAAGTATTCTCCAGAATGAAAAAAATTCCAAATATGGGATAAGAAGAGAAATAAATTTTATAAATCAAAGAATACAGGCTAATATGTCCAGGGGCACCTAAATCTCTAAAGGATGTCCTTGCTAATGAGTAATCTTGTAGATTTCCAGAAGGAAAGTAATTTTAATGTAATCCACTTAGAAATATATTTCACACTTAGAAAGCAACTGTTTTGAATACAAACTTTTGTAATGAAAATTACCAGTAGACAAGAAGGGTATAGTTGTTAAATTTGCATAATGAATTCTCATGGGTTGAGTTGAATATTTAGAGCAAAATAATTGAGAGAGCAACAAACATTAAAATAATTTCAAATACACCACAGTGTTTTTGAATAACACAATGTTACAATATGTTGCAGCTGTTAATGACAAGAAATAATATTTTTAAGGAAGCAATCTTCAATTAATCATTTCCTCTTTTAGTGGAATAATTTATGGAAATGAAATGAGCCTAATAAACCAGAAAGAATGGGAGGAAAGAAATAAGTTAAATAAATTGCTTCCTTTTGTAACAACAGAAAGTCATGATATCCATCATTTGGCTAGAAATATCATATTGCTAAAGGCCTTATTTAGTATTTGATTCTCTTCCAATAAAGCAGAAACAGAGGGCATCACATTTCAGCTTTCCATTTATTTCACTCTCCATTTTAACCCCATAAATGTCTTCCAAGATTGAAATGTTAATAATGAAAGAATCTTAAAAAATTGATATCATGTAGAAAAGACAAAGTTGGGTGAGTTAATGAAATGAGTTTATTCAACTATTTGGTCACTGTTATTATTTTTGATGTTTTCCCAAATTATCTTATTGAAAAGTTGAATTTCATAAATAATGAAAATACAACAATTTGGGGGAGGGGCAAATGGTTGTAAATTATTTTAAATATTTAGCAAATACAGTTAATAGCTGATGTACATAAAGATAAATCCAATTTTAATTGTTAAATTGTTTTTGTATTGTAATTTTAATATTTTACTGTATAGATTTTTTCTCAATAATATTTGCT